TTTTTTGGTTGATTTTTCTTTGTTAAATGGCATTTAAATATATAAAATAAATATAAAAACTATAAATCTTTGTTTTACTATGGTTGTAAATATCAAAAAATTTCTGTATGTGACACAGCACAAGAGTTAAGTTAGGGTTTTTCAAAATGCTGACACGCCGAGCTCAAAAGGTTCGCCGTCACTGTGACCTAGGAGCACCCCAGAGGGCCTAAATTGGTCCTTGATTGGTGATCTACAGCTAGGGAAACTGAGGTCTAGAGAGAAGGGTTTGGGGTTAGGTCATAGGGTTGGGACCAAACCCCAGATGATATGAGACTTATTGGGGTGAGCAGCATCCAGTCCCCTCCTGCCTCCATCTTCCCAGATGACTTGATGACGGCAGGCCCTAATAATGAGTGCATACTCTCTGCCAAGTGCTAAGCATTTAACTCACTGAATTCTCTGTATAACTTTAAAATTATTATCCCCATTTACAGATGAGGCAACTTAGGTTTAGGGAAATAAAGTCACCTGACTAAGGTCACCAGGTCTGCCGAAGGTCACAAGGTCAATTCGTGGCAGAGCCAGGACTTGAAACCAGGTCTGTGTGACTACAGGGCCTGGCCCTCCAACACTGGCCGAAGGCTCTGAGGCACATGGAGGGAGGGATTTGGGCTTTTCAGCTCTCAGTAGGGGAACCCTCTCTAGTTTCCCATGGGTCCTGGCTCTCAGGCTCTGGTCAAAACACGTTAGGGCACTGTTGTAGAAAAGTCTGCAGCTGTACCCTAAGGCCCAGGAAAAGACAGGGGAAGGGGCTGCGGGTGGGCCGGACAGGCCAGGCTGGGCCAGAGCTCCGGGCATTCCGGCGGCCTCCGCAGGAAGCAGAATGGGACGGAAACCGGCTCCTGCCTCCTCCCCCAGAATCCTGTGGGCAGCCCAGCCGGGCCGCACAGAGGCCCTCTTTGTGCCTGCCCCAACCCGCCACCCGCGGCTGGCCCAGGGTTTTGAGTTTCCTGGGGGGTGGGGGCCCTGCCCCCGCTAAACCTCCAGCTACCTCCCCCTCTGAGGGGCGGTCACAGCAGTCCACAGCTGGAGGAGGAAGTGAGAGGATGGCCAGGGATACCCCAGAGACCCTCGGGGGCCTGGAGTCTGCCCACATCTCATCCCCCCAACACATACACACCCTAATCAGGAGCTGGAGGTAGGCAGAAGGTCCCAGAGACAGTGCCTGAAAGGCTCCCCCGCGCCTGCCCTCGCTGCCAGTAGCCACCAAGCCCATCATGACGCCCTCTGGGACCCCATCCCACTCCATCTTGGTGCTCTTGGGCTCAGGGTGGTGCGCATAAAGAGTCTGGCCATGTGGGTAGAGCAGCCATCTGTCAACTGCCATTTCCCACTGTCCAGGGGCTTCCTGGAAACACAGAGCACATCCAGGGGGAGGTGTCAGGCTCCCTTCAGCATTTCAGGGGACAAAAGCCCCTTGGGTGGCATAACTGTGCTCAAGGAACACTAGGCCCCAAGGAGTGAGCTCAGGTTGGAGTATTGGGAGGAGCAGCACTATGGACAAGGATAGCTATGTGTGTCCGCCCGGGAGGTGTGTCAGACACCTGTGCATGCTGTGTGCATACGTGTGTCTGGGGTGCCTAGGTGCATGTGGGCTTCAGCACTGATGTGTACATGGAGCTTATATACCAGTGTAGTCTGTAGAGGCCTTTGTGTGACCTCCCTGTGTAAAAGTGAAACGTGTACCATCTACATTGGTGATGTACCTGAATGCCCGAGAGTATGTGTGCAAGTATAGTGGTTTACACGGTGGATAGATGTTTGTGGGTTCTTCTGGCCTGTGGGTGTCAACACATCTCTGCCACGTGTACACCAGTGTGGTGTGTGTGTGTGTGTGTGTGTGTGTACTATGAGTAGTATCAGGGCTTCTAAGGGGTCTGGGATGTGAGTCTGAGGCCCAACTGGGCCGGGGATGATGCAGACAGGAACTGATGCCAGGTGCTGGGGCCCCTATGGAAACAGGAAGCTGCCCACAGGTGCACTGGGGCTGTGGTGAGGCTGGGCTCCACCCAGCTTCAGTTTGTCCCCCTGAGAAACCAATCCAGGGTTCCACTAGCCTGTCACAGCCATGAGGGAGGCACCTGCCTTGTCTGCATTCAAACCCCAACAGCTCTGGCCAGCGTCTACCCGCCTGCCTGGCCTGAGCATGAAAAAAAAACACTGGAAAACAAAAGCCCCCAGACCGAAGGCCCTCCCTGCAGAGGCGTGGGGGAGGCAGGCAAGAGGCGGGAGGCGGGAGGCTGAGGAGGAGGGAGGTGTCG